CGGTCAGCAGTCCCGGCCAACCGGGGCCTGCCACGTGGCAAGACCGCGTCACTCCGAAAGGAGCCACGTTGGCGATCCGCGTGGGTGCGATCCGACGGCCCAGATCAATCGCGCGATCGGACGGCCCAGATTCAATCGCACGGACGGCCCAGATTCAATAAAAAACGAACGGCCCATATTACAACGAAATGAACGGCTGTGATCAAAGGCAAGGGGTTATAAATAGAACCCCCACACCAGACCACAAACCCTAGCCGCCCGCCGCTCGCCGGAGAAGACGAACCAGAGGCCGACCGCCGCCACCCGCCGCCGCACCGGGGAAATTTCCGACCGCCGATCGAGGTAAATTTCATACCCCCAACTCGTTTTTCTCTGCTGATTCCTCCTATGGCCAAATTGAGGCCGAAATCCCGGCCAAACGGCCGGAATACGCGGCCGAAACCCAGCGGCGCCGCCGCACCCCTCTCGGTTTTTGCCTCCGACGAGGTCCTTCCCGGCCTCCGTTCGATGCAATTTTTATATCACCGTGATCACCATTCTTTTCTCTACAGGTTGACCGAAGCCGAATCACCAAAACACGAACCTCGCCGGAGAGCCGCCGTACCCGAGAGCGCCGCCGCCGGTAAGCTCCGCTTTTCCGTGATTTTTGGCCCCCCGGGGGCCCTAGGGTTGTTTTCTGACAAGGACCAATGCGAGTGTGGCCGGAGCACGGCGGAGCCGCCGTGCCGGAGTTGCGATTTGGTCCGAAAGGGGCCCTGGGCCTAATTTGGATTTTTTTGGAACACGTGCAGGTACTGTTAGTGTGTTTCAGTTCCCCGGGAAAAAATTCAGGGAAAATTAGGGACGGCCTGCAGGCGCACTGTGAATCGTATTCGGATCCCGAAAATAAGTAAGGACCCCTCACCCTATTTCCTATCACGGTATTAAAGTTCAAAATGATAAAACGGTATTTCTTGAATTAACGCATGTGTGAAATTGCTTAAGGTTGCTAATGGAGCCCGAGTCTAGTGTGATTGATGATTTACTGTTATTTGGCCTGTTTTACAGCTTTAAATGCATTATGGGGTTTGATGTGTTCATTTTATAGTTTCGAGTGCATATATTACTGTTTTATTAATTATGGGTTGAATGACTGAAGAACTGATACTGTATGTTGTCTGTTTGGCATGAGTTACGATTTGCTTTCTTAAATGTGAATTGATGATGCTTATTGAGGAAAAGGAAAATGAAAGATTGTGTAGACTGATAATTGTATGATGGGGTTAGCCTGACTAGATATCCTGGGAGATAGTGGACGGACCGGGTCCGTAGGGAACCCTACCGGGATTGTGGTCTCACATGCCGGACGGGGTATGGAGATCTTATGGTTTTGGCGCCCATACCGGACGGGGTATGGGGACGGCCCGTTTCACCCTCATACCGGACGGGGTATTGAGGTTTATGGTTTTGGTGCCCATACCGGACGGGGTATGGGGACGGCCCGTTTCACCCTCATACCGGACGGGGTATTGAGGTTTATGGTTTTGGCGCCCATACCGGACGGGGTATGGGGACGGCCCTGGAAACTGATTATGAATGTTAAAGGTTAACGGGTAGCGGGACTCCTATGGACCCCCATGGATACTAGTAGACTGGTAAATGAGAAAAGGATATGTTGTATAATGATTGAATTACAAAAGGCGTGATAAGTGCTATGTTTTACAGCTTATATTATTCCATGTTTGTGATAATGTTATTGTGTTCTTATATTGCTTCATGAATTCCATCGAGGTAAGTGGATGGTAAAGGTTTTATCATAAATAAAAAGGATTTGTTGTAAATCATGCTCCATTGGTCTTTTGTGTTTTTCTACCCACCTTTACCTCCGTGACGGTGAGATATCGTGATG